TTTGTGAATATTTGTGCCCGTACAAGGAATTTGTTAATTGGCGCTACATATGCATTCACCACGTCTTCAAAGTAAGTAAGTGATTTCATTCGTAGTTAATTAGGTCGCGATCAATTCTGCGTTCTAACAAATAATGTACATATATTTAAACTGTATTGAACTATGTGCAATCAGAGCGATAGCAACACTTGCTAATTGCTGATTTAACCAATTTCCATTCAGGATGATGCTGCTCGGCTTATTTAATTGCTGTTCATCGCAATATATGAACTTTTGTTTTTCTGTGTAGATAATTTTACGCCTGCCTGTCAAGCGTGTGTCCCTATCGATTTTCTACATGTGCCGGAAGCAAACTATAACTAAGCTAAAGATAAAGATATACATAAAACATTGTATTTTGGATTTTTCTTTCCGAAATTATCTATGGTTTGAACAGTCGGCAATCTAACTTGAAAAGTCAACACGACATAATTGGATATTCAAAGGATATTTCAAGTCGAAATTATCTGGTGCGAAAAATGTCGCAAAAGGAACAACATTAAAAGATTGAGCTTTAAACCAATTTTAGGAAGGAAAAAAAAGTTTAGTCACAATTACCACTGGAAATTAATGACACTGCAGACAAAATTATATATTGTTCTCAAAAGTCTTTAATCATTAACTGAACAATTTCATTGAGTTTTTACGTTTTTTTCTGCATAGATTCTATTATGCACAAATAATTGCAAATAACCCAAGGGTCTCATAGAAACGTCTTCTATTTCCAGATATATAGAATGCTATAATTAATTTTGGAGCTTGAGCATCGTTAAAAAGCTCAAATTTGAAAAACGGTCTATTAGGTAACTATTTGTGATATCTGTCTTCTATTTTTGTTCTTTATACATCTATAATTTTCGAATATAGAATGTGTGTTTTGTTTATAGCGATTTATGATATCGCCTTCTTCGAAGTATACAGGTTTTACATTTCTGATGCATGCAAAAATAATTATATAAAACAATAGAATAGCCTAAATATTATTTGTTGGCTGAATCAATAATTCTCACAGCTAATTTAAGGAAACGTTCGTTTCAATCACAAGTCGTCTTCTTGCCTCCATAATCAAACAATGTCTGACTTTAAATGTCCATTCCATATATACGTCGTAATAAGATGTATGCATTATGTGCAAACTTTTTCAATTAACCCTCTAACAAAAAATCCGATAGGTTGAGGTCGGGAGTACGGTCTGGCTCGGGAATGTCATTTCCTTAACCTAATCACCTATTAGGAAATTATAGGCTTGTGATAATTAAAGGAATCTAGAGGAGTGTCGTCATGCATGGGCTACATAACTTGCCTGATATTTAAGGGTACGCCTGCAAATTGCCCAGTAGTTCCGTTCTTGAAAAATGCAAATATCGTTCTGCATTCAACCTTGCAGATAATTGAAAAGGTTCAATTATGAAATTGCTAGTAATTCCACACCAAATGTTGGGCATTTCTGATTCATTGCAATCAAGTGTTGGTGTGGAGCATGGTTTTTACTATAAGTACATCGGTTTTATGAACGTTTTTAAACGTTTCTATGGAAAACTAAGGCTAAAATGAGTTCAATTGAAGGATGATTGATTTTCTTGGGAATTCCGTCTGTGCAGTGATGAAGAAGAAAAAATAAAAACTTTTTTAGCTACCTAGCTTTCAGCAATTTATTGTCGCCTTTGGCGCGAGATGAGTTGCACTGCTCAAGTAATGGGCAAACATTAACATCAAGGTAGGAACCCTTAGAAACAGAATAATCTTCGTGTTACGATGTAGAAAAATAAAATGACTTCAGACATTTTATATTCGTTTTCTTCCAGCAGTTCTCATTGACTGCCAATGCTCATTTCAGGTTTCTCTACAACGCGAACTTAATTGTTTTCCTTTTGGTCACGAATTTTGGGACCCGATTTTGGACTTGTTAACCTTTAAGATAAAATGGTAAAATTTTGAATGTTATATCAGTTTTTGGCATACATACAAAACACATCTGCGGGTTTTTATGTTTTTTAAATTAATGCTGCCTACGTATTTTATTAAATCAGCAATTGACGTTTTTGAAGAACATAAGATATTCGAACTCTATATATTCGCAATCAGGACGTTTGTATGGAGAGTTCAATAGACAATATAGATTTTTAGGCTGTTTTATATCTAAATACAAATTATCTGATTTTCAAATTTTAAACCGCCACGTCGTGTGCTCATATTTATATACTATATATATATACACATATTCTATATCTGGAAATGCGATTCAAACGAAGGTAACAGTGGTTACAATTTTTTAAACAGAATTTGAATGTTTTATATCCTGTTTTAAAAAATATACCTAGTTTTGAGACTTGCATTGCCATTAACCGAGGTCTTGTAAATAACGGTATCTAAAATATAGTTTTTGTGTTAAAATCTGCAATATTACACAGCACAGTAAATTTTGCTATTCATTAGCAAACCGAATTTATTTTCAGGCATTGCACACGAATAATTATCAGTGGACTGAAAAATACATCTTGAATTTATTATTTACTGTCTGAGCTGATCCACATGTCCTCAAAATCCATCAGTGATTCTAAGTTTTAATTTATTGAACTTTTGCATGATTTCAAAAATTGTTGAGACATTCCAAATGTGCCCTTAAACATGCTGAACCTAATCCATTGTATTTGGTATAGAATCGCAAGGATTAATGATGTTAATATCAAATAATTTTATCAACACGATGTATGGGCAGATTTTCCACGTATCGACAAACATAATTTTTGGAGCTTTTTAGTAATGATATCAAGGTAGGCATTCGTGCCATTTACCTATATTTAATTTTTATCAGTTGTTTTTCTACTCGATGCCGCGTATCATGAACACAGGAATTTAAACATTTCAAGTATGTGTTTTGTTGATAATTATTTTTGAGCTCATTAAAGTATTTATTTATGCAGCGTCTATCCGTTTGATCTAGTGGACGTTTTTGTTGCTATTTGGAGTTAAATTGTGTGTATTTTTACTGTTTAATGTTGAAATAACTTTTTTTGCTTTTCTCAATGCAATTAGTTACTTTTGTCCAAAACACACTAATTACCCCGTATTCGTTTACGCAAAAGAATCGAAGAAGTTATCGAAGCCGATACCGCCCAAGTTTACCGTTTTCAAGTATTTCAGTTGATAAATAAAGCTCGCTGCAATCTCACTTCGTAGATGACTTTTAAATGAAATTTTTCTACTTAAGCAGTTCTTCAATATGATTTATTTTTCTAATAATTGACCAGGCCTTCAAAGCAATCTTAAAGCTAAAGTTGAGTTCACTTTGAGTTTTTTTCTCATTAATTAGTTATATTTCATCAACAAGTCCCGTAACGATATTTATAAAAACTGGGTAATACTCTTAAAAAATGCATTTAACCTAACGAATCTGCGTTTAATAAATTAGCAATTTTATACACAGGACATATTTGAATAAATTTAAAAATTTCCACATCGCATATGGATAGGGCTAGATTTTAAAATAATAAATTGCAAGTTATTTTTGCAACACGGTTCAATAAAAAAATGCTAATTAAAAATCGCACTCATGCAATACATGTTATATTGGGTAATAAAAATGCTGATGTATATTGGCAGCAAAGTTATTATTTTAAACAAGCGAGTGAACAGTAACCAGGTTTTATTGCTTTTTCGTGATGGATTTAATGGAAGAAATTCTCGTTAATTTTTTTATTCACTTTGACAATTATCTGGTATGTATAAAAATTTAAGAAATTGCTGATTAAATTCAGTAATTTTAAATAATCGGTAAATGTAATTAATTATTATTGCTCCTTCCGTAAATTATACATATTTAATTTAAAGCAATTAGAGAAAGCAATTTAGCTAAAACGTTGATAGCTAAGTAAACTAACAACGCGCTAATGCCACTTTCTTCATTGTAATTACAAGGCTCTTTAGGTGATCACCAAATTGTTGGTCTTGGCTTTTTTGTTTATTAAATGGCTACATTTACACTAGTCGTTCAACATGGGAATATCAAGAAGCAGCTGACTAGTGAAAATACTTTTTAAATTAATTTAGTTTGCCTACGTTAGAAAAAATGTAGCTATTTTCTGTGAAATGGAACAAATAGATTTGTATATGCCCGTAATATTCTTCAATTTATTTAAAGTTGTTCAGTAATAACTTTATTGCTCAAAACGCCTTGAAAATAGCCGTCTAGAACCCAACGAGAGGAATAACGCAGGTTTTAAATGATCTAATATTTCTACACATCCAACTACTTAGAACGTGACTTAGCTAAGGAATGGATCACGTGAATTCAAGTGTTTTGCTTAGTCGAAGACTACAAAAGACCATAAAACTAAAATTGTCGTGTCTTTATCATCAAATATTATCCAACCAAATATAAAACCGCTCAGTCCTAATACCAATTATTTCTTTATTGCAGCTTAGTTTGCCTTAAAAAATAATTTCGGATAAAGTTAAGCCATTCCATCTGAGCTGCACCAAAAGATATTCGCGTTTATTGGCCATAAATTACCTATACAATGAAATGTAAAAGTCGGAACACACACACACAATGTCAGATATAAAGTGACCAATAGTTTTTACATCCAAAGGTTGATACTAGAATGTATAGCTTGAGATTAGTCAATGTTATTTATTAAATATTTTATGAAGCTGTTTGTTTTTCCAACTTTTCATATTAATTTCTGTCAGCTATCTTCTGACATTGTTTTTTGTCAAGCTGTTGAAAAAGTTCAAAAATTCTGCATTTACCGACTGACTGAACGGCAAGTTATGTAATTATAATGAAATAAAATGTAAATTGCAAACAAGAAAGCCCATTATAAAAAGATAACTGGAAAGCCAGTTCTCAGTCACCGTTTCGTTGTTGCCAAAATATGTTAACCTTTAGCGTGAAAACCGGAACCACGCCTGCTTACCAGTGACAATGTATCTCGAATATTCAATACACAGTAATTATGGACCATTCTATGCTTATAGGTTGTTTGGTGTTGGTGTAAATAAAAACAAAATAAAAAAATAGAAAAATTAAATGATAGATTTAATTCGATATATTTCAGCATAATTAACAAAAATCGTTCTTTTACAGTTCAATCATTTAGAAATAATTCGAACAAAACCATTATGGCATTTTATTGAAGATGGCAAAGCTTTGTTTTTTTATTTATCCCTACAAGTTTTCTAGAAATCTTATTCCACATCAAATACTGCAGAATTTCATCAATATTCAATCTTCTAGAAGAAGTTTGCGGCATCTCACTTTGCAACTTTGGCCTTGGCTGAATTTTGTTTTTCGTTCAAATGGTCATTTGAGATTCATTGAGACAACAATGTGTTTAACAGTACTAATGCCAAACCTTAAATCAAGTTAATGCAAAGCAATTGAATAAAACCTCTTGCGGATGTCTGCTAAATACCATCAGGTATTTCTGAAATGAAATATTTTACAATAAAATATCAGATGGAAGAAATTGGAACGTTCAGGCATACTTAAGCAGCCGAACTGTCGCAATTAACATTTAAAGCTTAATTCGGTAGTGACTGACTAAACAATTATTTATATGTGACATTAAAAATTCAATAATCCGCCAACATGTGCACATATCATTGGCATTTCACAGATTTGGCATTTTGACGAAAGATAGAATGCTTCTGCAATGTAAACCACCTTTCACTTTGTTTTTGACTCCCAATTAGTACCACTTTATTTAATGCTTCCGCAGTTTGAAAGATGGTTTCTAGTCGTACCTATTTACAATTAGTATTAGTCGGTAAAAGCTACCTAGAAAAATGGTTTATTCTAAGCGGATTGATTCATCTTGAGAGATAGTTATACGCAAAGTGTACAGTCTGTCTCTAAAAGGTGCGGAAAATATGTCACCACAAGTTCTTGTGGCTTGCGTTAGTACAAATTGGATGATGTCGATCGTCCAGAGGGTCAAACCATCAATCTAGTTTCAGTTTTCCATATGACTTTCATCTAATAACGGGGGTTTTCTTCTAATATGCAGCTAAACAAGTTTTATAAGATGAAAAATGCAAACCTGCTTTAGTTTCTTTTAGAAACTGTAGAATGCCCCACTTGCGGTACTTTGCACACATTTAAAAACGTTGACTGCCGCAGTCAATTTCGGTATCGAGCCGCTGCGCCACATTCGTTTTATTATAAATTTCACCTATTTTTACCTTTTGCAGTTTGAGGATTATAACATAATTATACTATAGTATGCCTTAGAGGCGTGAACAAAATGTATGTGTATGTACACGCAGCGCCTAAATACATTATATCAGCATGTAATTTGTATACAAACAAAACTGAAAGGATGTTTTGCTTGTATACAGTATATTTTGTGTCTTTTGTAGAAAAGCAATGTTTCTTACAACTATTTTTTTCAAAATTTATTTTACACTTTGTATAATTAACAAGGGATTCTGTTATCTACTTTTTTATGTATCTAGTGAGATACAAAAGTAAATAACTTTTAATATGTTATAAATGCAATATTAGGAAGTAAAATGTTTCAAGAAATAATTTTCAAAAAAAATTGTGTGTAGTAAATGAATGACAAACCAACTTATATGACAAAATGAATAAAATAGCGAAATGGGCTGAAGTCAAAGACTGTTTGAGAGTAATATTTCTTCGCATGGGGCGTTAGACAAGTTGGGTGTCAATAATACGTATGATCAACCGAAATTACTGTCTTGAGTCACATTATATATGGTGACATTGGCGTCATTCCTCTAGAGGCGTTGCCTGACGGTGTTTTAGGAGTACAGAAAAAATTGTAAAAAAAATTAATTTGTATTAAAACCTGACAAATTTCCAAAAAGCTATATTAGAAAAACGGCAACAATGTTTTTCAAGGTAATCCGCCTAATTAATACTATTATATTTAATTTTTCTACTTGTTGCTTAGTAATTATTTAAAACTCCGGTAACCAT